GACAAATCCCCTGGCGCGATACAAATGCAATATTTCGTAATTTTAATCTCTCTCTAAAACTCGTTCAAATAACACCCGGGTTCTGAACTGCGCAATTGGTAGAAAATAGCAATGAAGCAAAATTTAAATTATTTCTATGCAACGAAGGAATATGTACAAAAAAAGTTACTCCCACGTACGCTGCGCCATTTCGACATGATAAAAATTCCATCGTCTTCCACCCAACTTTCTTGCTAGTGTTTTCACACAACCCCTCCGTCTGGATACCCAATTCTCGTCGAGTATAGGGATAGCTACACCGCAATTGAAGTTCCTGATTCATTTTTGTACTTCACGCCGCTCTATGAATTCTTGAAATCATCATAGTGGATGTTGGATTGTTCAGAGGAGATACCGCTCGTATCTTCATTTCATTTATTTGGAGAATCATTTCGAGAAAGAGTATATGAATTTACGATTTTTTCAGAAAAGCCAGATATGGTCGAATGATTGACGAAGTTTTGCTTTGTAAAACGCCTTTTCTAAAGACCAAATTTGACTGGACAATTATTTTAATTTATTTTTATGGCTGTTGTATTACTACGTTGCATAATGATTTTTAATACTACACTACTGATATTATCTATTCGGTGACCGTACATTTATTTGAACCACGTAAATTTGAACCCATATGTAATCCGCGGGTTCAATCTATATGCGGGTGTTAAAACCCATGGGTTAGGGTTAGTGCATAAGTATGCAGGTGCAATTGTCGTCGGTTCAAATTTACGGGAACCATCTATTCAACCGGAATCGGGTACGTTCTTCATTACGCTTCCTTTTAAACAGCCCGGAAATTGTTATCAAAATGATTTTATTGCCGATATTTAATACTATAGAACCGTGCCAGAAATAAACATTAGTCAGTCATTAGACATTTATTGAATATATTACACAATGTCAAACATAGTTGCTTGCGCTGCATTCAAAAATGCCAGACGGTGCCACATCAGAGACATGAACTTGTTCATTATTTAGATGTAAATTTAATAGGAAATAATAGTTTTACGATGCAAACTGTTCTAGAACCAAATTTTTCTCAACGTTGCGTGTGTTACACGAAAATTATGGAATCAGTAAGTACATCTCAGGTGGTTATTTACCCGGAGAGTAGAAAGACTTTTTCCGACTTTTATCTTATTTAGTTCTTAGCAAACTTCGACATAAATTTGACAACATTGTATCTAGGACTACTTATTCCAGTCAAACCTGTTTTCCGTGAAGCATGTATGACAATTAAGTTTTTTGTCGCAATTGAACAACGAACCGCACTCAGGAACATTCCAGCTATATAGTTTTTCGCAAATTACCTTGAAGTTTAACTTTTTCTGCAAACTATATCATTCACCTTCTATAGCTAATCAAAGAATGCATAGGTAATATCATTAATTTAACTACTTACTAACATACTAATTTAACATTTAAGGTATTATTCAAGCAAGTGCAGATATAGGGTTATTATTTCCAAAGCACTACTAATTCTAGGCCAATCAATACCTTGGCAGAATTTACCTCTATTATCTTTCTATATCGAGTATTACAATTGTCTGTGGAGGACAGTAAAGTTATCATGCATTATTAAATAAGTTTTTGTGGCATCCTAACAGGAATATCGGTATCTTGGGTGCGGTTAATACCGTCAAACTGCACTCTCGCGTAAATACACCCCTAGTACTAAAACATCGTATCTTTCCTCTGGCTTTATCCTCCTACTCAAGTGTTTGTTCATATATTTATAAGTTTATATGAATTATAAAAGGTCGACAAGGCCGTCGATCATAATTTCAATGTGAATTAGTGGATTGTCACGTTCACGTTGTCTTTGCTAAAATATCTATCTTTTAAAATAAGTATAATTTTTCAGTAAAACATTCCAGAATCGAAAGTATTTGCAAATAATATTTGAACACGTCGGACGTAACTTTCTCTGTTCATGCATGATTGCAACTCTAACACGACGGCGGGGATCCTTTTTAAAGCAGTTTAGGTTTCAGAAATTTGGACAAGTGCACTCCAGGAACAAATGAATATTCATGACGTTGTAGTTAACGGCAATATACGGAGCCAACAAATTGTTTTTCGGACAAGATGAACGAGCGTAACGGACACTTAGTAGCCTACATTTTCAGATATTGCCCAACTATGATACGCCGTTGGATAATATTTTTATACTACGAGTTTGGAGGAATAATTGTGCATTGTGCAACATGCGAACAACGGCTAAACTATGTTCAATTAGGTTTTGCTAAGGCAAAAAATTCGACAAATTTAGTTGATATTTTGCATTACCCAAACTGTTTTATTTGTATATAAATGTTAGTTCCCTAGGACTTATAGGTAGTAACAGGGTGAGATTCACTTTACCACAAGTTAACTGCTTACCCTTTTGTAATCGACACTCTATTTGAACACGAGCGCGTTTGAAACTGAAACTGCAAGCTTGAAGTAGAATAATTTTAGTCCAATCTGTATGAGCCAAAAATTAAAATAACTAATTCAATCGAATAAATTTATTCTCTTTTCAAAGTATTGTCCAACATATCCCGCATAAGTGGCGATGCTTGGAATAATTGAACTCAGTTAAAACTCAAGAATTCATTCCAAACTGATCTGAAATATCCTGATATGCATCCAGATTGACTGGTTGATTTTATACCAAAAACGGAGGATTACTTGAGCTCAATCTTTGCGTAATCCTGAGGATTACTAATGTCAGATAGAAGCCAAATACAACCGTCTTCATCGATTGATTGATAGAATTGTGAATGTCTGTTTATTTTTATTAAGAAATAGGAAAACAACAGGAATGTTAACGAAAACACACATTTTTTTTCTGTCTGAATCCACCGTCATATATGTATTGTAAATTTTTCAAAAATAAAACAAAAGACTACTTGTTTTTTATATGTTGGCTAGCTGCTCTATGTGTTTACAGTCACTGACAAACTATAATCAAACATTTCCATAGACGGATTATTGCCGTTTGATAAAAAGAAACAAAAGTGAAGTAAGGTTGTAAGCTCAAAAGTGATCGTACAAGAAGTTATATAGGACTCGTGCTCCTTTACATGAATAGGTAGAACATTGCTTCAACGGAAATATTTTACAAACAATTTTACTCGGGACAACTAAAAAAACAATTATATTTTACGTCAGAAAGAGAGCGGTCTGCATGCTGCACAAAATATCAATATTTTTGTACTCCTTGGACGGAAATATTTCAAAGTTTCGCTAGAACCATGCGAAATATTAAAGGATGTCATAAAAAAACGTACCCAACCTAATCTAATAAAACCAGCCCTGACCTAATAAATGGACCTTTGCCTACTAGGCGAAATGCCTCATATAAGTAATGAGTAATGCTCCCTAAAAAGGTTTTATACTCAGCCAAAATAAATGAACAAACGGGTATACACCCTGGCAGATGATATTTTACAGTTGTGATCTTTTGGGGCGTCGATATGTCGATGAATGATCTCAAAGACATGACATATCGCCAAGATGAAACAGTTCAGGTCCTGAATCATGTATACTGTGTAGTATATTGTGTTGAAAGTTATTAGATAAGAAACTTATGTAAAAGTCTAAAGTAACCAAGTATGGATCGATTGACATTATATGCTTATTAGTCATCGAGAACATCTGTAACTTTAGAGAATTGAATAAATACTAAAAATTCGTTATGTGATTTTTAGAACGTAGTGATAACTGAGCCAGATGGCAGGTGGCACATTTTTGCTTAATGTAATCTGTACGCCATCTATTGGTGCGGTTTTTCTCGCGATACCCACGTGTGTCACCCTATACCCACGTATACGACTTGTAGTAATTGTAATCTTTCGGGTTCTGACAATTCTGGAATTTTATGCCATTGCTACATTTTATAGAATGAGGAGGCTATAGAAGGTGGCGTATTCACGTTTCATCATAGTCATGCGTTTTTAATCTAAAATTTATCTCTAAAATTACAATACTGTGAATGTTGAAATGAAAAGATATAAATGATTCACAAGTGCGAAACAAAGGTTTAACAGCGAATGCTCCCTGTCCATTACACAGCAATCAATGGTCGTATAATTCAATCATATTTTATTGCCAAATATACACGACAATATTAAAAAGTTTACACAAAAGATGAAAAGCAAAATAGCATATGGCAAAATAATTTTTAATTAAAAAATGTATAACTCTAGCGCGATATATGGAAACAGCAAACAAATATAAATGACATACAGGTGCTTCGTAAATTGCGTATCATAACTTGGCTTGGATTTCGTGATAAAAGAAGCATGTGTGACCAAGTGAATTGTCTTGCAGAATATATACGGAACTTGAGCAAATTCCATTCTTGACATAAAATGATAGGAAATCAGCTTTGACTTGATTTGTTTTGTAGTTTTTTTTAGTTAAATTTGTCTCGAAGTTTCTATGAAAAACTTCTTCGTTAAGTTGCTCTTTTGAGTCTTCGCAATCATGTCTGTAACTAATCAATATAAAATGGCTTACACTGAAGAACGAACGTAAATTGACTACAGTCAAATTGTCAAAACATTTGACAAAATAGTTGAAATTTACATCAAATATTAAGTCTCATAAGAATCACAAAAAATTGAATAGATATGATAGAAATGAAAAATTGCCTTCTAACGGTGTCAACCATAATCAATTACTAGAAATTTGAAATCGATTGGTCCAATAGTTGTAAAGGCGCATGATTTTTTCAGCAACAACATCAATTTAGCAAAATGACCCATGTCTTCATTTTGCATATATTCCAGAATATATTATTAGTTTTACTATAATTTCATATTTGTTATCTGGTAAAGGAGGGAAGTTTGTCTACAATATAAATATTCTGATTTGTATTTTTAATATTTTTAATGAAAATTATTTGATACGTTTATTTTATTTAATGTCGTTGTTCGAATATTGACAGTTTGTTGCTTGCAAAGGTAAAAATAAGTAAATATGTCAAACCTCGACTTCACTTTTTCTTCCATTGATTATGCGTTGTTTGGAATTACTCTTGGATTAACATTCATCATTGGAATATACTATGCTTATCGCGGAAAAAAACAAAAAACAAGCAATAAATCCAATGACTATCTTAATGCTACCAAGTGAGTATGATTGAACCTTTAAAGTGAACACTCAGACCATGATATTATAATGATATTTTAAATACAGATCCATGGCATTTTTCCCTGTAGCGATATCTTTATGCGTCACCTACCAATCTTCGTCGTACCTTCTTGCCATTCCCACGGAAGTATACTTGTATGGTTCTATAGTTATCTGGTGAGTGATATTTTTCTACCTTCACTTCTCTTTTCGGTCGTCAGTAAAATATAAGGGATATCCAATTTGGATCAAAATACTGCCTAAATGTTTTGTTTCACTCCTGTTTATTTTTTTTTTCAGATTTTGCTTTGTTCATCTTTTCAATATTGATATTAGGCATTTGAATAAACTGAGCTCCGGTATACTATGTAATTCTTTGAATTTCAGGTCCATTGTCGTTACGATAGTAGCACCTATATTCGTAGGCTTAATTTTCGTTCCAACCTACTTCAGGTGCGGGGTGACAGGCGTACATGAGGTGAATATTGTTTGTTTATGTGATATTTGAGTAGTAGACTTCAGCTACCTGCTATTCTTTTATCTTAGCAACATAGTGTATTTCTGTTTCCACTCCATGATATTTGTAGCCTACTCGTTTTTTTTTTGCATAAACAAAAATTTTTTTGTTTTAACAAATTCACATTGCTTTTATTTTATTGCAATATTTTCTGTATTTTCAGTATCTGAGATTGAGATTCAATCGTCGTATGCAAGTCATCGGTGCTGTGGCTTTCCTGTCTTCATCAACAATATTTTCCGCGATTTCAATATACGCACCCGCTCTGGCAATTGAAGCTGGTAAATTTAATTACAATAAAACAATCAATTACGTGTGTCCTGTACCTTGAACTGTATTTTGATTTTTGCTTGGCCGCTTCCATTGTCTTGCCATTTTTGGCCATGTTTAACAATATTATTTTTCGTACATTTGTGTTGCATGTCTAATTGGTTTGTGGATTTGGAGTCTGCTATTTCATTGTAGATGTAAAGAAGACGGCGAGGGAAAAATTGATGAGAAATTGTATAAATAACTAAATGACAAAAGAAATTAACTCCGATTAGTTCCGGTTAAAATCCGATAAATGTTCATAATCAAAAAAATGGGAGATATACACTAAATAAAAAACAGGGACGTTTCAATAATAATGCTATTTTGAGCCTTTGTGCAAAGAAGGGAAACGTATATACAACTTGTTGTAATTCTTAACCCAATACGATAAACATACTCGGTACAACTGTCTTCAATGAATGGATAAGGGTACAACCATTATCATGACGAGAGTCGACATATAACAATGATATGATTTTTTCCTTTCTTTCCTTGTATTAATATTTTTATACGTAAAACTTCTACCTGAAAGACAAAATTGAAAACATTTAACAATTGCTTGCTGTTTAGTTACTGGATTAAGTCTGTGGACGAGCATAATCACCTGTGGAATAATATGTACGGCATACACAACCTTGGTGGGTATTCAGATATTGAAAGCATTTTTATTGTTTCGTTTATCCATCCTCCCTAAACCAAACACTTGTTATGATTTTTTCAATCAGTCATTATTCAAATTTTTTTATTATACAATAATTAATTAATAAGAAGAATATACGTTTACAATTAGAATATTATGATAATGCATTTCAAATTATTTTATTGGAAATGTTGAAGTTTATCCGATATTGAAATAAACAAACCCCAACACCAAAAATAATAGGTTGCATATGTGTTTTAATTAATCCAGGGCGGCCTCAGAGGTGTAATTTGGAGCGACGTGTTTTTATCATTCATTTTATATGGAGGTATCTTGGCAATTTTGATTAAAGGCACCCAAGTCAGTGGAGGAATATCTGAAGTATGGAAAGTTGCCGTTGAAGATGGAAGATTTGATATATTCAAGTAAGTTTCTGTATAGAAGTTTTTCTATTTATATTTTTGTAACCTCATCTAAGATATAAATTTAGGTTGCGGACCACATGTGGATATTTGAAAATACGGTGCATCATGAGGCATTGCTAATATGTCAGTGTTTATTTACTTTTTATTCTAAATAAAAGCAATAATTTTCCGACACTGTACAGATATTATGAGAAGATCGCTGGACAGTGTGACACGTCTGTATTTTTATATTGTCAATCAATTGATAGATCATCCAATAATGATGTATCATGTTATCTTGGGTCAGGGGATGGTGTCCATAATATGATAAATCAACTCTGGGTTATTTGAAAATGAGGCTCCCGGTCGGAAATATTTTCGAACTTGTTTTCTCATTTGCAACGCCATGTGGGCCTACATCCGACACCTTGTTACAAGCACACAAACTTATACCGTTCATTTTAGCTTTGAAACCGATATCCGTATACGCCATACGTTTTGGTCAATTGTATTTGGTGGAATGGTTACCAGTATAGCGGTCCTTGGAACGTCTGTAACGCCAGTCCAACGATACTTGAGTTGTAAGTCTACAAAAGAGGCTCAAAAGTATGTAGAAGAATACCAATACGTAAACTATTTTTTACAAATATTGTAAAGTGTTGTCATTCGATACAAGCGGTATTCAACCACGTTATTTCCATTAATAAAAAATGATCACTATGGATTACGATGGCAACAAATGTAAATATCCCGCTCTAAAATAATATTTCAGATAGGCTACTGCGGTATTGAAACTTTACAGATAAAATTATCGTATGGAAATAAATGATAACATCACATAAAATATACTGCACATATATGATGAGATACATATATATCAAAAATTGTCAAAAACGTTTTTAATGGCACAAGAAATGGAGATGGAAAACAAAATGAAGATTACAAAAGTTAGATTTTAACAAAAAATACTTTAATCATCCATACTGCTTTCTGATTAATTTACAATACAGATCAATGTGTATCAACATCATTGGACAAATATTTTTGGATTTGATTGTTATTCTTCTTGGACTGATTATTTACAGTACATTCCGTGGGTGTGACCCCATAGGGCAGCAATGCATTCAAAAAGCGGACCAGGTATATCTTGACTAACACGATGCATCATTTTATTTTTATTGGACCCATGGATCGTTTTGTAATTATGTTGTCGTTCTTGTTAGTATTCTACATGCTGTTGATATTGTTGTTGTAAAAAAATCTGAACTACTGGACCAATCGCTTTGAAATTTTTAGTAGCTAACGCTTGCTGTTTTCGCTAGAATGCTATTTATTTGTTTAAGACATTTCCGTAGGTTATATGGAATTTGCTTTTCCTTTCCATTTTTTTGTGATGACTAATGAAAATTAAAAAATGCGCACTGTGCCGTGGTTTCTTAGATCTCGTGGTTCACCCTACCGGTACTGTGGAAGATTTAATGATAATTCATTTCGCCCTTTGTATCCGTATACTTGGGAATTGCTTTCTTGTATTGTTATATCGATTCAAAATCTCATATTTCTAACAAGCTTGTAATAGAAAACTAAGTTACAATTGTTTCATTCAGATTCTACCTTTAGCAGTAATGAAACTGTTTTACGACATTCCTGGTATTCCAGGATTGTTTCTGTCTGCCATTTTAGCTGCAGCGTTGAGGTAAATTAGCATTATTATTATTACTTAAAATAATTTGATGACTGCCATGCACTCAAGACACTTTGCCTTGCACCGATGATGACATTGATGCTTACAAATACCAATCAACAAATCTCATTTAGTAAGTTTGAAATAACATACTCGTGGGAAGTGGTTCTATTTTTTTACATGCTGTATTCTTCTGAATACAAGAATATACTGACACGATAGTGCACCGTCTATCGTGGTGTAGAAAAAAAATCTAAGCCACCTACACTGAAATCTGCTACATGATCATGCAAATGCTTCGACTCGAGATTACAAGTCAAGTCAAATTAATTAAAATGAAACAGCATGGTTTTCGTCAAATAGAAATCTGAAAAATATGACAACAACAACAAATTACCAAATCAATTTAGGTACTCGCCTCGCCCTCACAAGTTGAATAGATTCGTATGGGCAATAATGCATTGTCACTATTGGGTGCTCACAATTCTTTTTCTGCTTTGAAACTACAGCCGGTTATTTTGACCAGACTATCAACTTGGTGCTACTACTAGTAGATATTGCTACCATACAGTTTTACAGGGAAGTTAAAAAAGATTAGTCCAGCGAAGATTTTTTTGGCATTTTTGCCATTGTCACCAACAGCAATGAAATTTTATAGAAACAATACATAAGACCACTCAAGGTCAGAAATCGAAAGCTATCTCACGCATATCGTTAAAATCAATTACAATCCACATTTCAGTACGATCTCATCCTCAATCAATTCTTTAGCAGCAGCAACAATGGATAACATGGTGAAACCTTTCACACAATACAGCGATAGAACGTACTTGTTCGTATCAAAAGGTAATAAACAATAAAAAAGTGGACCTCCTGAAGTATGCGCTCCAAGATGGCGGACAACCTGAAATCAGGTTGTGTACCAGGTTCAGGTTATGCGACATCTTGGTGCGCATACTTCAGGTGTACCAAAAAAGTAATCTGATAAGTAAACATTATAGAAGTGTTTTATTTCTGAATTTAGATTTGCCTCCATAAATAAATCTTAAGTCTCATCTTTTTTTCAATGATGCGGGTCATGCTAAAGATAATTTCAACATCATTGCCAAGTTTCATCGAATAAAATATATTTATTTAGGGGTAGTATTTTTCTTTGGAATCGTTGCTGTGGGATTTGCTGCCTTGATGACATACACGACAGAATTGTTCGAAATCTCTACAAGTTTATTTTCGCTCACTCTCGGACCGATATTGGGAATGTACACACTGGCTATGCAATTCCCATTTGTCAACTGGATGGTATGAATGTTTGGCGAAAAGTTGATAATTTTAACTGGACGCAATGTAGACGAATTTTAGCTTCAAACAACAATTTTATAATAAAAATTTTGTTATAAATGTCTTTACACAAATACAGATAACGGAGTGATTATAGCATATGTGATTTCATCATAGAGTGAATAATAATGTGAATTTTTATACGTATGTTTATTATGTAGCAATTGGTAGTGAAAAAATGTAACGCCCGCTCGGTCTTTAAAAGTGAATCAGACAATAATTAAATCATAAATTATATTTCAAGAAATATATAATATTTTGATCAAAATCTTGTTAAAAAGTTAATCTATATTCTTTTTGGGTACAAGGGTGCTGCTGGTGGCTTGCTTTGTGGAATCGCGTCAACTACGTGGGTGTTCCTTGGAAAACAGTCTATAAGACAATCAAATGAATTTGTTCGACGTTTATCGTTATCTACTGATCTCTGTAATGCTTCGTGCATATTACAAGCTGGCGAAACCAACTTTACTACACTTATTTATTCAACCCCCGATGCAACTATTGTTAATGAAATAAGCTCGGTTGCAGATCAGGGTGTCATGTTCGATGACAATGTTCCTTTCTATACCATTTCATATCGATATCTTTCGGCGGTTGGGTTGTTAGCATGCTTGATCAGCGGCATCGTCATCAGCCTTCTTACATGTGAGTTTACATTGTACATTTGTATAGGACATAGTCACCCTTGCGGTATGAATCGATACATATTGAATGATGCTCGACACGAAAGGTTACTTCAAGTCAAATATTTTGCTCATTTTTGTGTGATAATATTCCAAAGTTTCTTTTATACCAGGTGGTTGGAAAGACAGGCACAATGTTGATCCAAAACTACTGAGGCCTTTCTTTGACCTCTGGATATTTCGTTGCTGGATTCCTGCTAATGTACGGAGATTTCTTCGGTTTGGAATTGATTGGAGTGAAGATGACGACGATATGGTGTACGATATACAGGAGAACAAGGAAATATCAGAAGTATGCATGATTTTTATGTTCATTTTTTATTCCTCAAATTAAAATGAATTTTAAATGTCTAGCGGCCAGGAGATCACTTTCTGTAATGCTCACAGCACATTGTGCTTTGAGATTTCACAGTTTTGGCTGCAAAGCCGTGGGTTTTACATTGTTATGTCACAACAACACAAGATCAACTCAACTGCCATCCAAGTACCCCTTCCCGTGAACCCAGATATGATGTGAAGGCAGGCTTGGGGTTATTAGGCTAAAATACTGTTTTCCGGGACCGAAAACAAAATAAGTAATTAGAAGTATATTACCCAACTCATGTTTAATATGACGCAAAATTTGCGTGGTGTCTTAGTCACCATTGTCGAAGTCAAGTCTATACGATGGAAAGATAAAAAATGTAATTTTCAACCGCGTGGGATAATAAGAATACTCCGGTATAAACAGAGTAACGGATATAGATGGTATCTGTTGCGACGTAGCTAAGTATATATAGAACAAGGAGATGAACCATCTGGATCCCTCTTTGCGAGTTTTAAATGGCGTACGGATAATTGGCAGCTTTTTGCCAGTAATAAAATATAGATGAAAATATGGCCAATGCAAATTCATTTTTTACACAGAACAAAAAACAAATCTGCTCTTTCAAAGTGGATGATCAGAAAAAGAAGTTTTGCAATGAAAGTTTCAGTAACGAAGATAACGTTTCTATTAATTTTACCAAATTGTAATAGTATGCTCTCGCACAAGCAATGAGGAGAAGTGCTATCATAATAATTGCTCATTACAGTATTTAACTTAAGTAGAAACTGTTGCTTAGGACGTAGCAAATCAACTTGGTTCATTGGATTTTACTTTAATATTCATCGTCACCAGTTTATTTTTGCCTACAATCCTCCAATCTCAGATTCTATAACAGACATAGGCAAACTACGGCCCGTGTGCCAAATCCGCCCCGTTGGGTAGTTCAATCTGGCCCGCTCGATGCTGCCACAACCAAACTAAAACCAAATTTTGATGTTGAGCTAAAAATACCTCAAGGAATTTTTTGACATTAAGATTAAATTTAGTTTTGGCACGAAGCTCATTGTTTTTTTACCTTTGTAACAGTGTAAATAATATTCATGAAATGTGACTTTTACGTCACACTTACATGGCCCACCAGTCTAGGTAGGCAAATGTTTTGGCTCTTGGTCCAAAAAAACTGCCCACCCTTATTCTATGAGGTGAATTCCAAAATGCAGTCATTGTCACATGCAACCTTTTAAAATGACCATACTATACAAGTAGTTATAATATTGATTGAAAATATTAATATTGATTGTAATGCACAATAATTTGTTTATTATTTTTAATTAACGTGGATCCATGTGTGCTTTTCCAATTATATTCATGCACTATCACGCTTCTTTTATTACTGATTGCATACCAAGTATTAAAATGGATCGTTCTAACAATTTGTTGTTGCTCTTTAAAAAAATCGAACGAACTGATCGTCTTTCACTTCTTAAATATAGTTGTAGCAGTTGAAAATCGATTATTTATTTATTTATTTTTTCTTCTGAGCCCTGTGTAGCTTAATATTTCACCCAAATTTTTCTCACGTTTGCGAATATTGCGATTATTTATTTATATTGTCGATCGTGACTATTTTCGATTCAGGACCAGAGTATAATCTCCCCCGATTTCCTGTTTTAAATGCAATAGCTTTGGCCACGCAGCTACGAATTACTGTTGTATAGTTTGCAACACCAAGTGCAGCAAAAACCACGAATACCATAAATGTGTTTTCAAACCCCAAATCGTAGATAATTCGTAGACAAAAAGGCAACACTGTAAATATGGTGGATGTAAAGCATACAAATAGGAAAGGTTAAAAAAATGGCAAATACCGAACTTCGTTTAATGATTTTCCAATTATTACCAGTAAATTTCCTTTATTAAAATCACTCTTTTTTATCAACCGATTTGAAGGCTCCAGTATTGAACAAGTAAGAGCAGAAAAAGACGCATTCCATTTTTTTTGCTTTTATCGCCGAAGTTAATAATAATTCATATATATATATACAAGCAAACGATATCAAACCAAAACCTAAAATTAGATATTGTTCAATGGTATTGTCGTAGTATGCACACGAAACTGGATGAATTGATAAACTTGGTTCATGCTTTGATACATAACCAAACGTCAAATCATTCTTACTACAATGTTACTCGGATCTTAATACTAGTATACCCCAGTACAGCATAATAGTATGCAAAGATAGATTGGATAACAGAATAACATCTCTTTTGTTAAAATGAAGTAGAAGGTCAGTGTATCAATTTTGGAATCTTCAAGTTAGTCAACGTGAACGTCCCACCGGAACTTAAATCATCATACCTTGCGTTTAAGCTTTTTGATCGATCCTAAAGGAAAACAGTGTGACAACCCATATTTTTATCCTTTAGATGCCATTATTTGATCACACTATTAGAATTTGCTTTTCAATGTTCGGGGGCACTGATGGCACTACAACACTGTCAATCTGTCTTTTGTTATTCAGTTAGGATACCAGTTACCAGTTGTGACAATGCAGCTGTGGTTGTTTCAGTTGGATTTCGTGTATTTTAGGGCTTTTTTATGTCTGTTAAATAGTTTCTAGCTTTAAAGTAGGTTACCAAGTGTGTTAGTTTTTAATAAGGTATGTTTAGATATTTTATTGCTAGTCAGTAGGATTGTCAGTGCTTAGGTGGAATGTAGCGGATTTTAGGGGTTAAGATTTTTCTTGTAAATAATATTTTTCTGGCTTTGTGGTGCCTGGTGTTTGTTATTTTCATTGTGTCTTTTCTGTTCTGTTAATTTCATTGGAGTGTTTGGTTGTACAGTATTAAGTTTTCTGTCATTTCCTTCCTTTAAGTCATTTCCGTGTTGGGAGACGAGAGAACAACCAACGAGGAAGAGATCTTGCTGAGCTTGCTGATATCTGGTCGTTATTCGATTTAACTCCTGATCTTGACCAAATATGTTATGCGTGTGAAGTGAACCCCACAAGTAGAACACAACACTCAAAACCATGGCGATTTCATGATCAAATTAGCATAAGTTATTGGGATAATATCTATAATATGTTATTTAAAAAACGCATCAATTATTGTACAGTCTCAAGCACCATTAATATATTCAACGACATATTTTCAATTGTAGTTATCCAAGTAGCAAGTAAATCGATTCCATGAACAAAACGTTGTACAAAAAATGAAACTTTAACTAAAAAGATAGCTGTTCATTAAACATTATTGATGTCATATTATATAAAAAATAAAAAAAACTCCGAAGAAAGAATAATAATTTTGAAAACAAAGTTGGCATGATTGCTTCAGCTAACTAAACATGAATAAAAACTCAGCAAACTAATTGAAAATGAGGAATTCAACTAAAAAAATATCTTTCAACTAAATAGTATAATGTACATGTCGATCGTATACATTTTGGGACGTCAATGAGATGAAAAACTGCAGATTTGACGTTGTTTAGGACATTATTATTTCAGATTGTATGTCTGCCATTTAGGGCTTAGTTAGGCTATAAACTCCAACCAATATTCAGACCCATAATTTCAAGTTACATGAGCAAGGATGGTGATTACTTCATTCTGGGATCCCTGAAATATTTATATTACAAGGAATGAAATCAATAATATAAAAAAGCGATAAAATAGCGAAGCTTCTACGGGGAATGATAATTAATATTATGTTGATTATTCCATTCACTCGTTCAGGTTACTACGAAAAGTCGGCGATATTGCGTTGATAAATGAGATAAACAATTTATACAAGTCAGTCCCTTAGTTAGTTCTTAGTTACAATTTTTTTTTTCTTTAATACGGTTACTCCAATTAAGAGGCAATGTTGCTTTGGCATTTCATAGAATAGAGTTTGCCACAGTATGTTTATGGTACGTGCTAGCAGGGCAGAAGACTCAAAATTCTGGACTGGTTATTTATTGAAAACGGCAACTCGATACTTGTAGTAGCTTGTATACTTGTAGTAGTAACAGATTTGATAGTATATGGAAACGTAAAAATATTTGTACATCATAAACAACACGTGCAAAATGCGCATGAAATTCGCTGACGGTTCTGATGTCTATCAAAGTTGAATTCACTAGATTTTTCACCAAAATAAACTATGACGTCTTCTTCAATTGACATTTTCAATATCGTCACACTAATAAAAAAATTGCCTAAGTCACTTTTTGTCGATTTTGAGATTTTGGTATCGCTGGATTCGTTGGGGAAAGATCTATCTCTCTATGGTATTTAAACATTCATATCTGGTATAAATCAGCCGCTAGGGGGCAAAATCGAATCTGCCTATCTCAGGAAGTGGACTTAGGCAGATTTTGGTTTTGCCTAAACTGACTATAATTGAGATAGGCACATTTAAACACGCCTGTCCGCATCCAGTTTTTGTGCGTTCTGGTGTCGTTACGACACTCTTCGACTAGCAACGCTTTCTGGTTCAAGTAGGGTGTACTAAAATATATATTTATTTCAACATCTGGACGCTACCGGCAAATAATTGTAGTGATCGAATATTAACAGTATGGAGTCCAGGAAGCTGAGAAACTATGCTCTACTTGGAAATGCTTCTGCAAATGATAGTGTCACACGTGGTAAGTTATTGAACGCCAAAAAATGCGGATTTATACGGCGATAGTAGCGAGCGATCTTAATATATATGTATTCGTATTTAATTTTCACAGATGAGGTGAATGAAGTTGGAAGTTTTATAGAGCTTCAGCTCGATGGTTGCGAGGGGGATTCCGATGCATATTTATATAGTGAAAGTGGCTATTTACCGTTCCACGAAATACTGTATATTAATGTAAGTCTCGATAATCTGGACACGACGAGTATTTCGAACAATACCAATGAAGGCTCTTCTACAAGATCAGATGGCACTATTGAAACCTATGACGAGCCCTCACCTAACCGAGAAAAGAGACCAGTGCACGATAAATGAAAACAAAATAAAGGAAAAATCAGGCGCCTCCGTGGAAAATCATATAGAAACTGGAAAGGAAAGAATGTGCCCAATCGTCAACCAGGGCCACTATGTAGATCTGCATTCTGTAGCAAAGTCAAAACTCGCCAGTGTAACGTTGTGGATGAAGATCAAAGACTTGCTATGTTCATTAAATTTTGGTCTATGACGACTTGGAATGAACGCAAAATATTCATAAATACTCTGGTTGGGACACATGAGTTTAAACAACAAAGATCATCCGGTGTATCTAGGAGAAAATCTTCATATGTTTACAAACTAAAGCTTTCGAATGGTTCTGAGCTGCCAGTCTGCAAAGAAATGTTTGCTTCCACGTTTGGGATGCCTTGCAGAACTTTGGTATCTTGGATTAAAGATAAAACCTCTTCTAACCAAACAGCTGTTGTTCAAGCAGGTCCGAAAAGTGGAAAGTGTGCAAAAGTAAGTGATAGAGATAGAGAGTTTATAAAAGAGTGGCTCAGCACACTACCAACTGTAGACTCCCATTATTGCAGAAAATTGCCAAGTTACAGAAACATAAAATTTTTGTATCTAGGCACCACAATATCTGCCCTCCACAGACATTACCAAAATGTTGCAGAGGAAGAAAACAGGAGGGTCGTTAGTGAAGCTTATTTCAACGAGATTTTCCACAGATATAAATACTCAGTTTTCATTCCCCGAAAGGATCAGTGTGATAAGTGTGTAGGTTACAAACATGGTAACATGAGTACAGTTGAGTATAGCTTGCATATCAAACTGAAGGATGATGCTAGAAAAGAAAAAATAACCGACAAAGATTCTGCAAGTGCAAATAAATCCGTTTGGACGATGGATCTACAGGCCGTGCTTTTATGTCCTAGAACGAGAGCTAGTACCTCATATTACAGAACTAAGTACATGTACACAATTTCACTTTATATGGTACGAAATCAAAAGCAGGTTACTGCTACGTCTGGAATGAAACTGAAGGCAATCTTTCTAGTGAAGTATTTGCTTACTTGCAGTTTGAGCATTTTAAGCGAATCATTTGTAATAATCCCGAGCTGAAGCATATCATAGTTTGGAGCGATGGATGTGGTTACCAAAATAGGAATAGCACGGTAGCCAATGCATATTCTAGTCTGGCAAGAACTTACAACATAGATATAGAGCAAAAATTTTTGGTGGCTGGACATACCCAAATGGAATGTGACTCGACGCACAGCGTCATTGAACGAAAGATCGTAGGCGACATTTTTTCTGAAAGAGATTTGATCGTACTTATGGAATCCGCAAGAATCCATCCATCACCCTATCATGTTCGCCAAATGAGGCACACTGATTTCAAAAGAATGAATCAATTCTTCCTTCAAAGCATTAGACCCGGAAAAAGAGTAGGAGATCCCAGAGTGCATGATTTGCGTGCCCTGAAGTACGAAAGTGATGGTAGTATTCGTTACAAGCTTTCGTTTGAGAAAGCAATTTGGAAAGCGCTACCACACCGTGTACAGAATGTTCAAAGTCAATGGGTGCCAATGTTCAGATCTCGTATTCCAGTTTGTGCAAGGAAATTTAATGATCTTCAAGAAATGAAATCAATTATGCCAATTGACTGTCACCCTTTTTATGACAACCTTCCTCACGAGTAAATTATACAAACTTAAATGAAGTATACTACTATAAATTCATGATTACAGTTGTTTGTTTATGTTGATGTTTTAGGTTCAAAAGAGTTATTTATGTTTTGATTCTATTATATTGTTTGTTGCTTGAGTTGTGAAATTTTACATTCCTTGTATCAATTGAATACAATACATCTGGCCTGTGGGCTGACATCTATTCTAATGTTCACCAAAGCCAAATTATGATTAAGGAGGAATATCGAATTTTTGACTTGGCTTTCGTGTCATATTAATTTAATGGAAGTCACCCTCTCATTATTTGCCGAATGAACGTTTACAAAGTATATAGGTCAAGCGAATGTACAGAGAAAATATAGGGCGAAGATGTGAATAATATTGCCTAACTCAGGGTGCGGGAATAAAAAAATGCCTAAGTCAATTTTAGCGCATATAAAATAGAATTTGGAAGTTATAGATATCCTAAAATAATTAAAAATTTGATAAGATAAATCTAGATAAAAAAAATTTTGAAATAGATTGAAAAATGGGAAAGTTATGAAGTTTTTTTTGATTTACTCAAAATGTTAAAATTTGACTTAGGCAATTTTTTTTATTAGTCTGACAATATATAACAGGGTGGCCTAAAAGTAGGTGGTTGCCCAAAAGTAGGTATACAGTTAATAAACTATTTTATATGCTTTCAAGCTACTTGCAGTTCACTTTATGTTACTTGTTAAGTACCACAAAAATTGCTTATTTTTTAGATAATAAATCTAGTGTGAATTTTACATTAGTTTTCTAGCTGCTTGGAAGGTAATAAAAAATTAATAAAATAACCGTATACCTACTTTTGGGCCACCCGTATATTAAGATTTTAACTTCTGAACACTAATATAAGAAAAAATGATAATATATACAATTAGTGATAACACCTTCTGCAAACATTTTAGACAACTGAGTTATTACGTTCTACCGATTTGTTAAAAGTACGTGTCTTCATTCATTCTGCGTTTACTCACTTGCTTTTGTTTGCCCAGGCATTTATCGATGATGTTTGTTCATTGTTTTTATCTTGTGAACATTCGAAAAACAGGTACGATCCATACAATTTGGCGCACCTTAAATATCTCTGACGCCTTTGGGGGCGCGACCATCAGGTTAAGAACCGCTGCTATATTCAAACTGTATTATTGGACACAAGGTGAACATATCAACCGTTTTGTTAAATTTTTGTTCGGGAAAAATTACATTTATTTCCAACTACTCGGTGAGTCGGTTTGAATTTTTCAGTAGTTCAAGTGCTCATGTTTAATGCTCCTGTTGTATTCAAATTTGTGTTATTGCAAGAACTTGTGCTTTCAAGCAGATTTACTAGCGATGGATCTCGGCAAGAACGGGCTTAACAAACCATGTCCGTCAACGTAGGTTAGAGGGAGACTGACAGTATTGTAATTTTTGAACATGAAGAATGCGCTAATTTCTTTTAAATTTCTCCACTATGGAATAGATCTACTCTGAGGAAACATATTATGTTTATTCTAATAAACACAAAAACTTGCTGAGATCAGATATTTTATTCAGATGAATCGCGCCACCAATTCATTTTGTTCAATGCTTGAACAAATGAAAAAAAGTTTATACTTTTTTTTGCTACAGTTGATACACACAATTTTATATATACAGTACATAATTTCTTATAATAGATACTTTTCACACAATCATCTCTTAAACACTATGATATATTCAATAAATTTGCTTTGTAAACACTGATTTAACATTAATTATCTTTCGATAAATTTATATTCAATCAGATATACATAGCGTCGTATTTTTTGCATCTCGCCCATTTGTGACGACACATTAGACACTTTCTCTGTTGGGGACCTGCAATAAAGTAACGTTGATTCAAGAACCTTCCTTATACAAACCATGAACATTAAGATAAAAGACAAATAATTTTGTTTTGAAAACATAAACGACTGAGCGCTCTTTGTATTAAATATTGCAATTTGAATACACGAGAGGCGTAGCCAGTTGGGGTTTGCAATTTTAAGAAAATGAAAGTCGCTAATCATGCGTGCGATTGTATTTTGTCAAACGATAACGACGAGGGCGGCGATAATTACTGATCGGTTCTCGCACAGAATTGTGAGCTGTGTTGTGAAAAATCGAGGTATTAAATTTTTTGATTGAAAAGCGACATTGTGAAATATTAAAAATAAAACGAAGGGAAACACCATAGTTTTTTTTAGGAGGCTAGAGACAGATTAAAAATGCCCTTTCGGGCATTGTAAATCGCAAAATTTGGTGTGCTTACGGAACACATTATAATTGGTTCCATTGAAAATTTCACCGTCTTAAAAAAAAAATAGCCTCTATAAAGACTATAATAGTATTATTGAACGTTGAGTTGTAAAGGCAGATGGGAGCGGTTCAGTCATAAGCTTGATCTCTATTGCACCCGCTTTCTGAGATTGCCTGATCTCCACTTCCAACAACGAATGCAAAGATATCAGAATTCACCAGCTCACAATGGATACTCTATTGTCAACTTGATCGTCACAATTCTCCAGTATCTTTCGGATAAATACTGTTACTTTCAGCCTCTTGACTCTTCTCAACTCTCTTATGTAATACAAACCATGACGTGCTTATATATAATACTTTGAGTCCCTAATTTAATGTACTATGAAGCACGCATGAGCTTTAATCTCTATTGCCCGATCAAAACAATATGTTTTGTTCCCAGGCTATGGCCTGCGACGCGAATGACGCACAACAACTAAGAATCGTTACGACCAACTGGTGTTGTCCTAATTCAACATATCTGAGTTAATTAAACCCGATTTACTGCTAATAATACTAGTTTTTCCCGAAATACCGAAACTCAATATGATTGTCCCTACAAATACGAGTCGAAACTAGATATAATCGGACACATTGCCACACATTTTTATGACCGCCGCATTTCAGAGTGATAATGTGTTTTTATAATTTTAGTCAACGCAACAGCAGGTTATATTGAACATATATATTAAAATTTATTAAGGAAGACATTTTCGAATACTTTGCGCATTTGCGAATTGTACTCTTCGGAATTTTAACGAATTTTTGTTTTTGAAAAGATCATTTTAACGGATGGCATTATCGCGCGCCTGTTTTAGAAGTCGTTGCAAAGGATATTTTTTATTTTCATTTTTTCGACCCCAAGCTCTTTTATAAAGGCTCTTGGGTACGCCCCTGGTATAGACAATCTTTCCGTTCTTTGGGTACCCAGTGTGCACTTCATGATACCTCAGGTCACAGACTTTCAAACGGATAAATCAAGCACTACAATACTGCTTTTCACATCTTGAATACGTTAATCTATGTATTTCTATTCTTGTCTAGTCATGTGTCGTATATACCTGATTAAAATAATTCAAATACAAAAATAAAAAACAATCATTTGTACACATTTAAAAACATTTGTTTAATACATGAAGTTACATTTATCATACATACGTGTCATCTCATCAAAGCAGTTGCGCATTTCACGAGTTTTTTTATTCACTAAACAATAATATTTGCATCCTCTCACTACTTCTTTTTTGTTTTTCGGAATTTTCAACACTAAGAAAAAAATTCATCCGGTTAATATCACATTTTATATATTACGCATAGTTTCTTACTTTTATATATAATATACTTACGATTTCATATTAAGGAATGTATTCACAATTGATATGTTTTGATATGGTAATCTGCAGTATGTAGGGAAACGATATATGAAAGTTGACGTATATTGCATTTTGCAGATAAAATATAAACATCATGTGATAGCCCACTAGTATATATATGTAACAAGTTGTTTGATTTTTTGTATGGCAAAAAAAGACAACAAATAAAAGTATTTCGGTGTTGACAAGAAGGGAAGGGTCAATTATTACTTATCGATTTTAATCGGTAAGTATGTTGATAGATATTTGTCTGTCTGTATGTCTGTTTGTCTGTTAGATGCACGCGATATCTCACGAAAGCGAGATTTTGCTCCAGATTTTGCATGTGCATTTATCTTATCTCGGACCAGAAGCCTATTGATTTTGGGCGAATTATGTAGTATAATCAGCGAGTTATTGATGAATTAGTGATGGGACACAAGGTGTCACTATGGAGTAAAAGCGCTGTTTGGGGGATCCCCTAACTTTCGATCGATAAGTCTTCGGTCTCTGACCGATATTCTCGTTTAGGTTTTGATAATTTCAATACAAGAGTTTACTAGTGAGTAAATGCATTAATGTGATGTCATTAGGCATTTAAATGAAAAACAATGTACCTCTAAGATTTAAAAATGTTCAGCAAAAATTGGACAAACGTTAATTTAGTAGATATATGTCTTTTCTTGAAATACTAATATTAATTAAAAATATGAATGCAAGTATATTTTATATTTCGAAATTCACATGCAAACGATTAGCTTGGCTCTAAAAACCGATGTTTCTCAATACCGTGTCGATTAATAGTACTATAAACCTAGATAAAACTTCAGACAACATCCCAACGAAGCTAACAATAAGTTCTAAACGATCCTATGTAGGGAACACACCAACAATAATAATATATGAATATACCAGAATAATTTGCGAAGCAAAAATATGGCAGAAATGTAATTTTGCATTTTTCGTACGTTCGTTTTATTTTCACCACTCTATTCTTCACGATTATCGTGAATATTTTTTCCCATTATATGGGCGAAATATTTTTTCAAAATCCAACAACCGCAAAAATGACAACAACAATTTACCAAATCAATCATCAGTCTCTTTGTGCCACATACCTTTATTAGGAATCACTGGGTTTCTTGTCGATGGAGTGCTTGCAGTCACTTCCGATGTATAATTTGTAATGTTAGTGCTATTCGACGATACAGTAGAGTAAATCATACTAGAAGTGCTGTCCATGCTTAAACCCGAGGCTGTTGGGGAGACAGTATTTCCTGAAATAGAAGAAACTTGTAATGATGTTTTATTTTAATTTTTTTTAAACCCTCATAAATCTTTTTAGTCAGTCAGCCAGCCAATCGTTTTATTAGCAAGTCTTACTGTAGACTTGTATAATAAAAAATTTTCACGTGTGTATTTAAATCTAAAAAATTTACTTTGCACAATTTGCAAACTTGCTAAATCATGGGGGCCAACCTTTCCTATATTTTTTGCCTATTAAATTGAAATTCCTAATTTTGCGATATCTCATCATTTCACTATGTAATATTTCTTTCAAATTTGTGGACACCTATCTCCCTTTTTAGATATTTGAACAAAAATACTATATACAGTACAGATATCATTAGTATAGGATTGCTCAAACGAATAGTAAAATAGTGTTACGGAAACATACTGCTAATTTGAGCACGTTCACAGTTGGCATGTCTATACGGACATACATCCTAAGATGGGGAATAGTTTCATAATCTTGGGTAAGTCATAACAAAGTTTTTTAAAACACAAAATGATGTCAGGAAAACTTCAAAACAGTTTTCCATTAACTCAATAGCAAACTGAGATAGTCTGACTTATTAATCTAAACTTGATAACAAAATTTCGGTACAAATGATCAAAATCAGTGACGGCATTTTACAGTGGCTGAAACCTGTACCATGGAAGACTATTGATTGTATTCTACATATATCTTTATTAGAATCAATCGACCGGCAAAGTGATTGTGGCAGCAGTATTTGACGACTCAGTAAAGAATTTCATATTAGAAATATTATTTGTAGTCAAACCCAAGTCTGAAGTTGTGATGTTAGTTTCTAAAATAGAAGGAAAACTAAGATATAAAATTGATAATGTAATATTTGGTGATGCGGTATTATGATTTGAGCCAGAATACAGTTTTTAATTTTGTATTTCATACTATCGTACGATTGTAAACCAATCTACCGAATCGTGGTTCCCACAACTTTATTTTTTGTATTACCATTTTTGAATAATAAAAAAATCGCTCTAGAACAAGAGTTTATATCTTAAGAGCTCAATATTTTCAAAGACATTCAAAGTTATATTTATATGAATATTATATCTATATATAGATTAGATTTTCATGGTTTATGTAACTAGACCAGTGGTTCCAAACTTGTGCTGCTTGATGGGTATTAGTATGAGTGACACGTGGCTTTTTATTCATTAGTAACTACAAACTAAGCCAGTGGTCCTACCCGCCGGTCAACAAACCGGATTTTTTGCCAGGTCGTGAGAAATTATGATGGTTTGCTATTTGGACCAGTGCAGTCGCTTGGTTATCGAATATACAGAGCAAAGTTGCTTTATTTGGCGATTAGCCCTTAATTAGGTAATAAGATTACTCGTCGAGTATATGGTATTGCCTATGCCAGGCGGTGTCTTGGTCGAGTAACTACTAAAGTATATATGTTTCGATCAGTTGCTAGAACGCTTTGTTAATTCGTGGACGTGTCTAAAATACGAGCAGGCTCGTGTTTTTGTCCACATCGCCTCCGCATGAAAAGAAACATTAATAAAGTATTGCGATATTATCGTTGGTAAACTTTCCATGCATAATTTCGAAGCGCCCTAAGCAGTCAAACACAAAACCACAACAAATTCTAGTATAATGGAAAGCACAGATGTGATCACATACACGTTTTTTCGATTTTACTTTCATCATGCTCTGTTTAACTTTGGAAATAATAATGGGGCAATCTGTAATAAGTCAACATTGAACTTAGAATAAAACAAAACATTGTTGAAATATATCGAATGGGATTTTAAATTTTAATAAAATTATAGTTGAAAGCAATCTTACTATTTCCAAAGTAGCGTACGCTTTCTTACAATCTACATCGTTTTATCAAGTCCGTCTAAGCTTAGCCAAAGAATCGTTATAATTCTGATCTCAAAGTGTTCTACACCGTGGTTTCATACAATGCCTTCTAAGGATTCCCCGTTTTTCCGGCGCATTGCCGGGCTCGGCTCGCTCATATATTTTTAGGCCAATGTTCCCCGTCCACTTGTAGTCGATATAAAGGCACATTGTTCCCATTGAGATAATTAAATTTCCGTTTAAATAATTAAATATACTGAGTTTCGAAGTTTCTGGTTGTGGGGTCCCGAGTATCTGTAGTCTTCGATTTTATGAAAATTGGGTTCGCGGAAAAAAAAGTTTGGGAACCACTGAACTAGACTATAGTAATGAATGGCTGATTATGTTCGAATAAATTGATGCTGGTTATTAGGGTTTTATTACATTAAAGTTCTGTCGAAATTTCTGATTTTGTATTCAGCTATATTTTTATTTCCATTTGCTAATACTCTCGTTCTTGTTTGTTGTTCGAAAAAGAAATATGCTGAATATGAGGTGCAATTTTTAAAATGCCTGACGCTCCGCAACACTGATATTTTCCAGCATCAGTAATTCTCGCGATACTGTACATCATTATATTCTGTGAATGCACTTTTCGGTCATTACAATTTTTTTTAATCAATAAAATTCCCTTCAATAAATTAGGTTTCACCACTAGTTTTTACCTGCAATTGAAATTGTTGCGAGTCCTGCGACAGTAATAAACATCACAGAAATTATATAATCCATCTTTATTCTAAGACCTGACCTGAATGTATATTCAGATAGAATGTTTTGTGTGGGATTTATATTCAACACATTGGCGCCTGAGGGATTTATAGTCACGCGGTTCCTAATTTGAAAAATAATCGCCAGGAATGTTATAATATTATTAGCGATATATACAGTATGTCAGCGATTAAAGTTGTATGATATGCCTTATATCAGGGTGGTCCAAGGTTGCGAGGGTGAAGAGCCACAAATAGATATATTTAAGAATGAGAGTTTATCGTTTAAATCAGTTTTTCAAGGAAACTATATAAAGCCCTTAGTTATTTTAAAATTGCCTCCCGAGAAATACCGTGGTGTTTTCGGTATATTTCCTTGTGTTTGGTTTTGTAATGTCGCCTAAAATTATATTCTTTCGCGCAGATATTACTTGAAAAAACACCAAACAATGTGGTTTAACGTCGTTGTGGGTAAGGAAATACGTTTATTCTCAGTTTACTTCGGTTACCTTTTTTCTATAGTCATTGTATTACCCAACTCATGTTTGATACGACGCAAAAAACGTAACCCAAATACTCACGAATGAATATTGTACTGTAGACCAGGGCTACTCAACTATTTTCACCAAAGGTCCGTTTACAAAACTTTAAAATTACTGGGGTCCGGACATTTCAGAAAATTTATTTCATTAAATAAACGAAACTTCAAATACATTAATAATTAAATACAAGAGCAATGAATGAATCAAAAATATGGATACACATGTCGCACATCTATACCAGTACGGCAATGGGTGGATGTTTCCCCGAGCATCGTTTTCGCTGTTTATTTACGTAACAATGATCAATCAGCAAATTGTCAACGATGACGTACAATTAAATTTTTTGAAGCCGCTCAGACACTTCGTTCGCTCAGACATATATCATCAGACTAATGAAAAAATTGCCTAAGTCAAATTTTAACATTTTGAGTAAATCAAAAAAACTTCATAACTTTCCCATTTTTCAATCTATTTCAAATTTTTTTTTATCTAGATTTATCTTATCAAATTTTTAATTATTTTAGGATATCTATAACTTCCAAATTCTATTTTATATGCGCTAAAATTGACTTAGGCATTTTTTTATTCCCGCACCCTGAGTTAGGCAATATTATTCACATCTTCGCCCTATATTTTCTCTGTACATTCGCTTGACCTATATACTTTGTAAAAGTCCATTCGCATTCAAATAATGAGAGGGTGACTTCCATTAAATTAATATGACACGAAAGCCAAGTCAAAAATTCGATATTCCTCCTTAATCATAATTTGACTTTGATGAACATAAGAATAGATGTCAGCCCACAGGCCAGATGTATTGTATTCAATTGATACAAGGAATGTAAAATTTCACAACTCAAGCAACGAACAATATAATAGAATCAAAACATAAATAACTCTTTTGAACCTAAAACATCAACAGTTTATAGTAGTATACTTCATTTAAGTTTGTATAATCTACTCGTGAGGAAGGTTGTCATAAAAAGGATGACAGTCAATTGGCATAATTGATTTCATTTCTTGAAGATCACTAAATTTCTTTGCACAAACTGGAATACGAGATCTGAACATTGGCACCCATTGACTTTGAACATTCTGTACACGGTGTGGTAGCGCTTTCCAAATTGCTTTCTCAAACGAAAGCTTGTAACGAATACTATACCATCACTTTCGTACTTCAGGGCACGCAAATCATGCACTCTGGGATCTCCTACTCTTTTTCCGGGTCTAATGCTTTGAAGGAACAATTGATTCATTCTTTTGAAATCAGTGTGCCTCATTTGGCGAACATGATATGGTGATGGATGGATTCTTGCGGATTCCATAAGTACGATCAAATCTCTTTCAGAAAAAATGTCGCCCACGATCTTTCGTTCAATGACGCTGTGCATCGAGTCACATTCCATTTGTGTATGTCCAGCCACCAAACATTTTTGCTCTATATCTATGTTGTAAGTTCTTGCCAGACTAGAATATGCATTGGCTACCGTGCTATTCCTATTTTGGTAACCACATCCATCGCTCCAAACTATGATATGCTTCAGCTCGGGATTATTACAAATGATTCGCCTGAAATGCTCAAACTGCAAGTAAGCAAATACTTCACTAGAAAGATTGCCTTCAGTTTCATTCTAGACGTAACAGTAACCTGCTTTTGATTTCGTATCATATAAAGTGAAATTGTGTGTGTACCTGTAGCGTAGTTCTGTAATATGTGGTACTAGCTCTCGTTCTAGGACATAAAAGCACGGCCTGTAGATCCATCGTCCAAACGGATTTATTTGCACTTGCAGAAGCTTTGTCGGTTTTTTTTCTTTTCTAGCATCATCCTTCAGTTTGATATGCAAGCTATACTCAACTGTACCCATGTTACCATGTTTGTAACCTACACACTTATCACACTGATCCTTTCGGGGAATGAAAACTGAGTATTTATATTTGTGGAAAATCTCGTTGAAATAAGCTTCACTAACGACCCTCCTGTTTTCTTCCTCTGCAACACTTTGGTAATGTCTGTGGAGGGCAGATATTGTGGTGCCTGGATACAAAAATTTTATGTTTCTGTAACTTGGCAATTTTCTGCAATAATGGGAGTCTACAGTTGGTAGTGTGCTGAGCCACTCTCTTATGAACTCTCTATCCCTTTCACTTACTTTTGCACACTTTCCACTTTTCGGACCTGCTTGAACAACAGCTGTTTGGTTAGAAGAGGTTTTATCTTTAATCCAAGATACCAAAGTTTTGCAAGGCATCCCAAACGTGGAAGCAAACATTTTTTTGCAGACTGGCAGCTCAGAACCATTCGAAAGCTTTAGTTTGTAAACATATGAAGATTTTCTCCTAGATACACCGGATGATTTTTGTTGTTTAACCTCATGTGTCCCAACCAGAGTATTAATGAATATTTTGCGTTCATTCCAAGTCGTCATACACCGAAATTTAATGAACATAGCAAGTCTTTGATCTTCATCTATAACGTTACACTGGCGAGTTTTGACTTTGCTACAGAATGCAGATCTACATGGTGGCCCTGGTTGACGATTGGACACATTCTTTCCTTTCCAGTTTCTATATGATTTTCCACGGAGGCGCCTGATTTTCCCTTTATTTTGTTTCCATTTATCGTGCACTGGTCTCTTTTCTCGGTTAGGTGAGGGCTCGTCATAGGTTTCAATAGTGCCATCTGATCTTGTAGAGCCTTCATTGGTATTGTTCGAAATACTTGTCGTGTCCAGATTATCGAGACTTACATCAATATCCAGTACTTCGTGAAACGGTAAATACCCACTTTCACTATATAAATATGCATCGGAATCCCCCTCGCAACCATCGAGCTGAAGCTCTATAAAACTTCCAACTTCATTCACCTCATCTGTGATAATTAAATACGAATACATATGAAGATCGCTCGCTACTATCGCCGAATAAATCCGCATTTTTTGGCGTTCAATAACTTACCACGTGTGACACTATCATTTGCAGAAGCATTTCCAAGTAGAGCATAGTTTCTCAGCTTCCTGGACTCCATATTGATAATATTCGATCACTACAATTACTTGCCGGTAGCGTCCAGATGTTGAAATATATATATATTTTAGTACACCCTACTTGAACTAGAAAGCGTTGCTAGTCGAAGAGTGTCGTAACGACACCAGAACGTACAAAAACTGGATGCGGACAGGCGTGTTTAAATGTGCCTATCTCAATTATAGTCAGTTTAGGCAAAACCAAAATCTGCCTCAGTCCACTTCCTAAGATAGGCAGATTTGTTTTTGCCCCCTAGCGGCTGATTTATACCAGATATGAATGTTTAAATAACATAGAAAGATAGATCTTTCCCCAACGAATCCAGCGATACCAAAATCTTAAAATCGACAAAAAGTGGCTCGGGCAATTTTTTTATTAGTGTGACGATATTCAAGCATGGCTCTAAACAAGCCATGTTTTTGGATTCGCGTGTTATTCGTTAGTTTTTGGTTGTGTTTCTGAAAATGAGTTGTAAATGAAGTATTGTAATTGTCATTATGTCTTCCGACAAGCTTTAGTTTAGTTACAATAATCAAAAATAAGTCCCGGGAAAGCTTCGATAGACTATGCTCAAATGAGCGTGTAAGCGGTACGTGGTTGTATATTTTAATAAAAATAATGGTTTCGATCATGTAAATCAGTTTGTAATTGTTAACTCTCTGAAACACTCGCGAAATACGTATCAAAAATTTTTGCAATAGTAAAGAATAGGGAGAATTTTTCTGGGGTCAAAGGTCGGGGAAACATCCTATGGATCTTTCCATCCTGTGTATGTAAATAGTACCAAAATTATCTGAAACTATATACCTGTTGGAATGGTGGTCGTTCGTGGAAATTTGATATATATTAATGTTGGAAGCATTGGGACGGATACAATAATTTTAAATTGGACTAATCGAAAACGACAAAAGAACCCGATACCCCAATCAATGTTTGTACATTTTTGCATTGAAATTGAACTACAGCATCACCATTTTACGCAACGAGTGTTTTATTCCATATTTTGTAGGGAAGCACTGTTGTAATACACATACCATAGTCATGCATTCCATTCTATCAAAATGTATTTATTAATTGGAACCCACCGAATGTTTATGCTACACAAGTTTGACGCCCGAACGATACTCGTTCGTGTTTTGTCTTTTTAATTTTGAATATATGTTTGTGTGTTGAATGTTGGTAAACTGGCGCATGTGTATTTACATGTATTATACCTTTATGAAGGTTTTGCCAGTTTCCTCGATTATCCCAATCTTATGTGTGTTCATTGTTTGTGTTTTGTGTGTATTTTTTTGCGGGGAAATCAAAATATACTCATACTTATAAAACGATGCTTGTGCTGCCGAAATAAACAATCAGTCGCGGTCCAAACTGCACGGTCGAAAGGTCCGGATTCGGACCGCGGTCCGCCAGTTGAGTAGCCCTGCTGTAGACTATCTTTGTAACTCGTTCACCGTTTTACGTCG